CCGTTCGGCGTGGCAGCCACGCACCGGGGCGTGAGCTCGAATGTGCCATTCTTTATTTTTATGAATTATTAATTTTATTTTAGTTATTATTGTAATTAGTTTTTAATTTGCTATAGCGAACATGTGCTGGCCCTGAATGTGCTGTTCTTAACAGTTAAAGAAAAGTGAGAATTGCAGCTTGTGCAGTTGAATTGCCTGCCTTGCTTTAGGTCTTGCTTTAAATTGGTTATGCTTTTTTTCACATATGCTGACGGTAGAGTAAAATTTCATGTTTTGTAATGTGTGTGTGAGTGCGAGTGTGAGCTCTTGACCAAATTACTTAGCCTCTCTGCAGTTCAGGTGCCTCATATGTAAATTAGGGATAGTATAAAACCTGTGACATGGGGCCGGCAGGTGGCGTGGTGGTTAAGGGTGCAGACTCCCACATTGAGTGACTGTGTTTTGAGTCCCAGACCTGGTGACTTGCTTTCTCACTTTCTGTCTCTCTCTTTCACTCTGTCCCTCTCTAGTCAGATTAAAATAAATAAATAAATAAATAAAGTTAAATGAAATAGTTCTAAAAAAAAAACAAAAAACCTGTGACATAAATGTGCATTCAGTGTTTAGTTCATTGTGTTCCACATAATAAGAGCTCAATAAATACTATTATGGGTAGTAGGTTGAGTGGAAAAACGCATTCATTTTAGTTTCTTAAAATATAACAGTGCGGAGAATTTCAAAAAGTTTTATTTATTAAAAATGATCCAATTTTAGTATATGTGCTGCCGAAGCAAGGGACCAGCAGTTGGCTGGTCTTCCATATAGTCAACCATGGTTTGAGTCCTGGACCTGGTGGCTTAAACTCATCCTGGGCATGTTTACATGCATGCCCAAGATCCCAGGAGGAGAATAGAGGAGAAGGGATTGTGGTGTGGCCATCCCCACTGGGGGATGATTTCTCACTTTCTGTCTCTGTTTTTCTGGTGAGTGCATGTGCCCTATAGCAAAAACCTCCCCAAAAAAAAAAAAAAATAAAGATCCAAATTGGTACCAGCCAGATTGAGACCAGCTAGATAGTGTAATGATTATGTTGCTGGTCTCCCACATGACTGACCATGGTTTAAGTCCTAGACCCAGTGGCTTCAAACTCACACTGGGTGTGTGTGTGTGCAGGCCCAAAATCCTGAGAGGAGAATGGAGGAGAAGGGATTGCGGCATGGCCATCCCCCCCCGGGGGGGGGGGGAGGGCGATTTCTCACTTTCTGTCTCTGTTTTTCTGGTGAGTGCATGTGCCCTATAGCAAAAACCTCTCCAAACAAACAAACAAAAAAATCCAAATTATAAGAGAAATATACGTTAGTAAAATGTTGACCTTTTTGGTTTCATCTTGTGCACTCAAATCATCCTGGCAGATCTCACGAAGTAAGTTTAATGTCGATGAACTTGGGCTTGAACACCATCCGTCTAATGGTCCCACTCTCTTTTAGGAGGAAGAAGAGGTCTTTGCGTGGAATAATGAAGTGCAGCAGGGACTTTCGAGTAGCATCTTCACCAAAGATTTGGGTAGAATCTTCCGCTGGCTTGGGTATAACATTTTTATTTTGAATTTTTTTTAAAAAAAATTATTTATTTAATTTTATTTATTCTTTTTTTTTTTTTTTGAGAGATTTTTGCTATAGGGCGCATGAGCTCACCAGACAGACATAGAGACAGAAAGCGAGAAATCACCCCCACGGGGGGATGGCCACACCGCAATCCCTTCTCCTCCATTCTCCTCTCGGGATCTTGGGCACGCACGCACACGCGCCCAGCGTGAGTTTTAAGCCACCAGGTTCGGGACGCGCATCGCGGTCGACTACGTGGGAGTCCAGCGACATAGCCATTACGCTAACTGCTGGTTCCCCATTCAGTCATTTTCATTTGACCAGAGAAAGACACACAGAGAGAAGGAAAGTGAGAAAGCAATCTACCAGGTTCAAGACTTGAACCGTGGTCAGCCATGTGGAGTGTCCAGCACCTTAGCCACCCACCACCTGCTGGCCCCTATTTTGAATGTTCTTATAAGCCTTATTTGTGTGGCGAGTATACTTTACTTTTTAATTAAAGGTGGAGACAGAGAGATGGAAAATGAGAAATGACCCCCAGGGTGGATCTCCACATTGCATTCCCTTCTCCCTTCTCCTCCTGGGATTTCAGGTGTGCGTGCACATGTGCCCAGCATGATTTTTTTCAAGCTGCTGGGTCTAGGACTCAAACCACAGTGAGTTATGTGGGAGTTTAGCACCTTAACCACCACACCACCTGCTGGCCCCTGAACTTTTGTTTTTTAATGCTAGAGAATGCGTGCATGCATGAGAGAAAAAGGGAGAGAAAAAAAGCAAGCAAGCAAGCAGGCACTTCCCAGAAGGGCCCAGGCCAGCCACAAATCCCCTTTCCTCTAATTTTCCATCCCCTCAGGATTCTGGCCATGTGCATATGCACCCAGTGTGTTCTTCAAGCCCCTGGGGCTGGGAATCTAACTCTGATTGGCCATGTGGGATTCAGCTTCCTCTGCATAATGTAGAGGTTACACTGTGCTATGGGGGCTGGTCTGTGTTTTTAAAAATTTTTATTAAGTTTGTTTATTTCGTTGAGAGAGAGAAACATTCCCAAGTGGGTCCCATTATGCCACAGTCTCCCCCCATCTTCCCTAGATCAAGATCATGGAGACATGCCGGCACCCAGTGTGCTCAGATTGACCTGGGATTCAAACCCAGTCCTCCTTATGGCTTCCAGCACTGCAGAACTGCACCTTACTGTCTGTGCCATCATTGCTGGGCCCAAGAGTAGACTTTAAAGATGAAATTGTCATATTGAAAATCCATTTTTCAGTATTAAGAATCTTTGAGTTTTGTTTGAGTTTTTATTTGCTTTTGCTTATTTGATTTGATCCCATACCTTGCTCTCACTGTGCCTCCTTTTTATTAATATCCACAGACCTAAAGGATCAGACTGTGGTATTGTGAATGTCAATATTCCCACGAGTGGGGCTGAGATTGGAGGTGCATTTGGTAAGTAGAGAACCATTTCTTCTATTCTACATTGAGTGGCCAAGGAAAAACAGTAGTCACTTTTAGTAAAGTTTGACCAAGAAACAAGGCCTTCATATATTCAGAAATAATCTCGTGTGATCTAACATGCCTAAAAAGAGCTTATGTTCCGTGTTCAAAGTTATGGTCCAGAGTCCTGCATTTTCCTCCCATGAGCAGCATCAGGTTAGAGCAGAGACCTTTGACCTGAGCTATGGGAGCTTTGGGAACAGCAGTATCTGTTTTCTGGGGAGAGGGCCTAAGACCCAAAAAAAGAGTTAAAAAAACCTTGCTTTATAACTGGGAAGTTTTGTAAGAAGTATTCTGATTTTTATTTGCAAAATGAGAATAATAAGTATTAAACATATTATCTTTACTAGATAAAAGATTTCTTTTCACTGGGCCCAACCCCTTTTAAAATTTTTTTTTTATTTATTATTTACATTTAATCACCATACTTTTTTATTTTAAGAGAGATTTTTTTTATTGGGCACGTGTGCACGCTGGAGAGAGACAGAGAAACAGAAAGCGAGAAATCACCCCCCAGGGGGGATGGCCATGCTGCAGTCCCTTCTCCTTCATGCTCCTCTCAGGATTTTGGGTATGCATGCACACGCACCCGGCATGAGTTTGAAGCCACTGGTGTGGGACTCAAACCATAGTCAACTATGTGGGAATCCAATGATGTAACCATTATGCCAACTGTTGGTTCCTCCTTTCTTTAAAAAAAAAAAAAAACACTTCTTAATGCTTTGCTGGTTCCTCCTTTCTTTAAAAAAACATAAAACATTTCTTTTTTTTTTTTTTTTTGGAGAGGTTTTTTGCTATAGGGCGTGTGCACTTGCCAGACAGAGAGAGACAGAAAGTGAGAAATCACCCCCCAGGGGGGATGGTCACGCCGCAGTCCCTTCTCCTCCATTCTCCTCTCGGGATCTTGGGCATGCATGCACGTGTGCCTGGTTTGAGTTTTAAGCCACAGTGTCTGGGACTTGAACCGTGGTTGATTACGTGGGAGTCCAGCGACATAACCATTACTCCACCTGCTGGCCCCAACCTGGCATGTTTTTCAAGCCACTGGGGCTAGGATTCAAACTGCAGTCACTATGTGGGACCTGGCTCTCTTACTGCTCTGCAGGGCTGGCCCACGAGGGTTCCACTCTTTTTTTTTTTTTAGTGCATGTGTGCTAGAGAAGGGCAGAAAGAAGGCACCCCCGATGGGGAATGGTCACACTGCCATCCCTCTCCATCCCTCTCCATCTCTCCTAACTTTTGGGATTTGGGCCACTCATGCAGATTTGGCCAGTGTGTTTCTCAGGCTGCCTAGTGTGGGACTCAGACCTCATGGTCAGCTATGTGAGATCCGGCTGCCTGGCATCAGCCCAGTTTCCACTCTTCATACCGTAGTCTGATGGTGTTATCTAAGGGTTTCTTCTGCTTTCTGCATATTTCTTTTGTTTTAAATTTTTATTTAACATTATGTATTTAATCATTTTAATTTGACCAGAGAGAAACAGAGTGAGAGAGAGGGAAAGTGAGAAAGGAAGCCGCCAGGTCTGGGACTCAAACTGCAGTCACCATGTGGGAGTCCAGCGCCTCTAACCACCATGCCACCTGCTGCCCCCAACTTTCTGCATTTTTCTATTTCCTTTTTTAAAAAAATATTTTATTTTCCCTTTTAGTTCTTTTTTTCCTATTTCTTTTGGTCTCTGTCTTTTATTTGTTTGTGTGCCGAAGAGATGCTCCAGGCTAAATATAAAGTAGTCATGACTACTTATTTATATAAATATTTATATATTTCCTTTCAGTATCTGCATTTTAGTGAGACTGAGAAGGAGTCCACACAGATGAAACTGCTCAAAAGATGTGACTATTTTGTGTTTCTCTAGGAGGAGAAAAGCACACGGGTGGTGGCAGGGAGTCTGGCAGTGACGCCTGGAAACAGTACATGAGACGATCCACTTGGTAAGAATAGGCTTTGGGGAGGTGCTTTCACACCCATGCTTTCTGCTCTGTCTTCCTGCAGTTTACCTTGACTTTATTGTTTTATTTTATTTATTTTTTTGGAGAGGTTTTTGCTATAGGGCATGTGTGCTTGCCAGAAAGACAGACAGAGAGACAGAAAGAGAGAAATACCCCCTGCGGGGATGGCCACACCGCAATCCCTTCTCCATTCTCCTCTCGGGATCTTGGGCACAATGCACACATGCCCGGCGTGAGTTTAAGCCACCGGGTCTGGGACTTGAACCATGGTCGACTACATGGGAGTCCAGCGACATAGCCATTACACCACCTGCTTGTCCCTCCCAGATGTATTGAATGGGGATACTTTTTCTGTCCAAATTAAAACCAGGTGACCAGTTAATATGGAAACTAAGCTGTCACTTTCAAACATAGTATATTTTCTTATTTTATTTCTATTAGTATGGGAAGATCTGTGTTTCCCCTGATAAAGCAATACGAGTTTGGGGGAGATACACAGCACATCGTAGCTCACATGTTCTCATACTCGGCCCAGAAGAAAACCGTGAATGACACGTCTGGCATCTCCCCAGGCTTTGGCGCTTCTTTCTTGTTATTTTTAGTAAAACTGGATGCAGAGTAACATATTGTATCCTATTTTTTTTTTTTCTTCTCTACCTTATAACTTGGATATTTTTCTTTGTTAATCTATACGGATCTTTTGCCTTTTGTTAGTGGCATGAACATATTCTAAAACTGTTATGTTATATTCTATCGTTGATCTTATTTTGTTTATTTCCCCCCTCAGTACCATCAACTACAGTAAGGACCTTCCTCTGGCTCAAGGCATCAAGTTTCAGTAGAGGTGTTTTACAGGGACATTACTTCAAAGTTGCTTAGGCATTCCTTTTGCTTCTGAAGAAGGCTCAGAAAACTGAGATTCGTCCTCAATAAAGGCATCCTTTTGAATAATGACAGTGGCTAATCCCTTAAGACCTCAGAGGCCTAAATCAAGGGACACATTTTTACAACATCAAAATAAAATTGTTATAACGGAGCCATATTTTGGTTGGATGGGTTGGAGGAGTTTTTGGCATTTGCTATACATGAAGTTAATGATTATTTTGTTAATTAGAAAAAACAGTGCATGCACTGATAGGAAACGTAGAAATGTAAGGTCTGAATGGAGAGGAAGACAGGAGTTTCCAGTTGATGCAGGTGTCCTGAGCTAGGGAAGGATTCTCGTGGTGAGTGTTGACCTCCCGGCGGGTATTGGAAAGGTGTGATTGAAAGGGGGCCGTGTTGGTTTTGAATTGAGAAGGGACGTTCACCACTGGCTAATGGCTCTTGCTCAGGATGGCCATGTCAATTTGGAAGAGATTTGTAGGATAGAAATACATTAACGTCTGCCCTTGAACCTGCCATTTGCAGAGGGCTCTGGGGCCAAAACTCTCTGTGTCCAGTTCTCTCAAAAACTTATCTCGGGGCCAGCAGATGGTGTAATGGTTACATCGCTGGACTCCCACGTAGTCAACTGCAGTTCAAGTACTGGATCTGGTGGCTTGGAACTCCCACTGGGCGTATGTGCGTGCCCAAGGTCCCAAGAGGAGAATGGAGAAGAGATTGTGATGTAGCTATCCCCCTTGGGGGGGTGATTCCTCACTTTCTGTCTCTATGTCTCTCTGTCCCTCTGGCAAGTGTACTTGCCCTATAGCAAAAATCTCTCAAAAAAAAAAAGCATATCTCAAGGGCTAGCAGGTGGCATGGTGGTTAGGGTGCTGGATCCTACATGGCCAACTTGATTGTGTGAGTCCTGGACCAGGTGGCTTGAAAGACATGCTGGGCGTGTGTGGGTTTATGGTCCAAATTTCAATAGAATGGAGGAAAAGGGATAGTGACATGGCCATCCCTTCAGGGGTTGATTTCTAACTTCCCCTCTTTCTCTTTCTCTCTCTCCCTCTCTGGCACATGTCCTATCGCAAAAATCTAAAAAAGAAAAGAAAAAAACAAATTGATTTCTTATGCAACCTTAAATCATTGTCTGGCTGTTAGGTTCCTATAGCTGTTCTCAGATTTATTCTCAACTGACCATCCTGAGTGTGGCCACACATGCTCACAGAGAACTGGGGAGGGTTTGCTTTCTCTTTGCCGAGATCCCATTCCTTACTGAGAAGCTACACAGAAGCCTCTGCACTGGCTCAGCCCAAAGGCCCCTGCTCTGTCTGCCTGGCCCTCCATACCCCTCTCTGTAGCAGCCACCACCCCTCTCCTCTCACCTGGTTGGACCAAGGCAGAGGCCATCGAACATGTCATTTGTAGAGAGATTTGGACAACTGGCAATTATGACAAAGAGAGGCCAGCAGGTGGCGTGGTGGTTAAAGCACAGGACTCCCATGTGGCTAACCACAGGTTGAGTCTCAGACCAGGTGGCTTAAAAAATCACACTGGGCACGTGTGCATGTATGCCCCAAATCCTGAACGAAGAATGGAGAAGGGATTGTGGTGTGGCTATCGCCCATCCCTGCCTCCTGGGGGGTGATTTCTCACTTTCCCTTTCTCTGTCTCTTTGGTGAGCTCATGTGCCCTATGGCAAAAACTTTAAAAAAAAAAAAAAAAAAGGGCAGCGAATGGAAAACTAGATATTATAAGTGTGTCAGAGAAGGACAGGTGTTCATCGTACGTGTTACGGCCAGCTGTGAAGAGTGAGTCAGGCACTGCTGAAACCTTTTAGGAATCATGTCCCGTCAGACACGAATCAAGCTAGATGCTGATACACCTATTGGAAGGACATTGGCAAGAAGATACCATGAGTAAGGGTTGGTGAAAAGCAGACGGTTGGTTCTTCGTTTTCCGTATGAAATAATAATGTCTAAAATTATGAAAACGAAGTAACAACACATGCTTATTATAATAGGGAAGTAAGTGCCCAAGGAGTCGTTGCTGTGGGCTGGGTAGGGAGATATGGAATGCGTTTTCCATAACGAGCCTCGAACTCTGATTCTTTGAATTGTAAATAAGTAACTGCTAAAAACTGAACAAAAAAGGGAATGGTTCTGGAGAACCGTGTACTTGAACCCTGACTTCTGACCTTTCCCCTCCTCTGCCCCAGCTCATAGGCTGGCAGGATTGCTTGTTCCTGTTACTGAATTAAGGGCTATTTTAAATATCATGACATGATCCTGTTATTGAAAGCCACCTTTATTTCTCAATTTCGAGTTCAAAATTGACTCAATTATCCTTTATTGAGATATATATACTTATAAAAATGAGTGGTGATTTAAGAAAATCATAATTTGGCACTAACTTTAAAAGTCTTGTGATGATATATCTTTTTTGCAGCACAATGTTTTTTTTTTTTTGGAGAGGTTTTTTGCTTTAGGGCGTGTGCGCTTGCCAGACAGACAGAGACATAGAGACAGAAAGCGAGAAATCACCCCCCAGGGGGGATGGTCTTGCCGCATTCCCTTCTCCTCCATTCTCCTCTCAGGATCCTGGGCACGCACGCACACGCGCCCGGCGTGAGTTTTAAGCCACCGGGTCCAGGACGCGAACCGCGGTCGACTACGTGGGAGTCCAGCGACATAGCCATTACGCTAACTGCTGGTTCCCTACAGCATAATGTTTAGGTACAAGTATTTTAGCCCTATTTTATTTAGCGACTAATACTATCTGAAGAAAATTAGGTATGACTTAAAATATTTAAAGGAGGCCAGCAGGTGGCTAAGGCACTGGCCTCCCACATGGCTGACTGTGGTTCAAGTCCTGGACCTTGCAGCTTTCTCTTGCTCTGTCTCTTTCTGGTCAAACTGAATAATAATAATAAATACAATTAAATAATTTAAAAAATTAGGAATCATGTAATAAGTCATTTTCATTTTGTGAAATTGTGCAAAATTAACTTTTTTGAAATATGTCTTAATACCATTTTTCCTCCTTATATAGGGTCAGGTTTTTTTTTTTTTTTTTTTTTTGGAGAGGTTTTTGCTATAAGGCATGTGTGCTCGCCAGAAAGACAGAGAGACAAAGCAAGAAATCACCCCGCAGGAGATGACCACGCAGCAATCCCTTCTCCATTCTTTAGGATCTTGGGCACGCACACACACGTGCCTGGCTTGAGTTTAAGCCACCGGGTCCGGGACTCAAACTGCAGTTGACTACATGGGAGTCCAGCGATGTAGCCATTATGCCATCTGCTGATCCCTAGATAGGTTTTCTTTTTTAAAATTTTTTTGGAGAGCTTTTTTGCTATAGGGCATGTGCGCTTGCCAGAAAGACAGAGATAGAGAGGCAGAAAGCGAGAAATCTCCCCCATGGGGGGTGGCCACGCCGCAGTCCCTTCTCCATTCTCCTCTCGGGATCTTGGGCACGCACACACACATGCCAGTCATGCGTTTAAGCCACCGGGTACAGGACTCGAACCGCGGTCGACTATGTGGGTGTCCAGGACATAGCCATTATGCCATCTGCTGGTCCCCCTAGACAGGTTTTCAAAAACATAAGCTGTGTCAGTGTTTAAAGGTTCTTTACATCTGTAATTTCTCTCCAGTCCGGCGTGTAAGGAGGCTCTCTGGCGTCTGTCTCTGCAGAAACCATGACGTCGCAGTCACGCTGCAGTGACATCTTTAATACGCGGCTTATGGGGGGGATGTACGGAAGCTCTAATCTTAGGTACAGAGGTTGGGTGAAACTGACTCTGAAAGCTTTCCTTAAATGAGTTCATAGTTTTTCTACACATATTTCTAGCAGTAAAGACTTTTTTGGGTCATACTGTTTATTAAAATATTTTGCCTTTAAATTGTTACTCTTTGTTCTTTTTTATTGACTTAACAAATAAAAAATGCTTATTAATACACACGTGTACATATTTTTTATCTATTCGAGGGGCCAGACGGTAGCACAGTGGTCAGTTATGACACTGAGGCTGGCACACGTGGGAGGTTCTGGGTTCGCATCCAGAGACCTCCGAGTGTCATTCATCCTGAGTCCCTGGGGAGCCTGGGCCTGTGATCTGAAGCTGGGGGGTGGATTGTGGCCTCAGGACACTTGGGGTTGCCCTCTCTTTCTCTTTTCATCTCATTCATAGAAAAAATAAACGTTTAAAGAAAATATGTATTTTGCTTATGTTACTGTGCATGTGTGTGAGACAGAGAAAGCAGTGCCCTTGGCAGCATCTCATACCACACTTCCTTCTCCCAGCCCTCCAGCTTGTCAGGATCCTGGACAGACACGCGTGCCCCTGGCATGTTTTCAGGCCAACCCAGGTATCCAGACCTGCTTCCGGCTGTGTGGCTCCCGCTGCAGTTCAGTTTGCTCCCAGCCGTGCCGCCAGACTGGACCGCATACTCAGAGGTTTAAGCACGAGAGCTGCCGTGATTGCTGATCGCCGGTTGTAATGGGCATTTCACGGCCCCGCTGCCTTCTCCTGTCCAAACCGGGCGCTGTGGCTGTGGTAGGCAGTTAGCCATGAGCAGGCAGCCCTAAGAGAAGAGCGAAAGGCTCACCCAGCCCCGGAGCCAGGAGGGCGTGGCCATTTGCCTTCTTCCTTCCTTGGGGCCTGAGGGAAGCACACAGGGATGATTCGTACATTTTTCTCTTATCAAAAAGATCCAAACGCGCGTTTTGGTCAACACCCTAATCCTCAAGTAATTCCCACTAGGACGAGGAATTAATTAGCAGTCTAATTAAACCACCTGGCTCACACTGGGCGTGAGCAATAAAGGTACTCGAAGTCCTCATTCCTTACCTGTGAGAAGTGCGCAAGCGCAGGAGAAAACGCTCGGATTCAAATTCAAAGGAAGGACTTAGGTAGTATGACAGACCTCCCACCAATGAATATTCATGACACCTCCAGTAATAACAGTAACAATTAACCAGTAACAATCTGGACCCGAAGAACCAAGGACTTCGCAGCTCGACACTCCTCACCCATCAACAGGGCCACCACTGCCAGGAATTCCCCCTGCCTCCACCCAGGACGTGCGGTGTGGATAGCATGCTTGCTTCTGCCACAGCAGCGGACCCTGCTTTTCTTAGGCTCTTGTACTTCTCCAGTCCCTGGAGAGA